CGCAGATCTCTGCAAGCACCTCCACAAAAGGCTGCTGAGAACCGAAACTGTGATAGATGCATTCTTACCAGAGCAGCATTGTCAGAGCAGATACAAAGATAGCAGAAGAATGAAGTAGAGTTCTGTATCCAGTTCTTGATTAATTTAATTTCCGCTCTGTCTTGAGCTTCTCCCTGTTGATACTTTTCTATAAAGCTAGTCCTTTACTTTCATTAAAAAAAAAAAAAAAACCCCTCCTCTTTAAGCAAGTGGCAGCAGTGTTTCAGCTCCAGACGGAAGCATTCTCTCCCATTTCTGTTACTTCAGGAAGAATCCAGTACCAGAATCTAAAGTGACCGTATTGTGAACTGGGATGTTAAAGTGGGCAATGAGCAATTGGGAAAACTATGGGACTGTCTACTTTGGTTTCAGAAAAATTATCAATTCCAGTAATTGGTACCGTTTTGTAGTAAGGGCAGCATACTGTAAAAGAGCCTGCTTTAGGAGGGGTTTCTTTACTGCGATTTTAATACCTTGATTTGGAACATAATTGGCATGAAAGCTCTTGGTCAGCACCCCCACAAGTGATAAAAATGATAGTGGAGACATGTCCTGGAAGATCAAATTAGTGATGCTGTCTTCCTTCAGCATTGATTTCTCCACTTTAGCGTCTTTCATGGCCAGCAGAAATAAGGTTTTATGTAAATGTCCATCGGTGTGACAGGGCTGGAAATGGTGTTGACTGTGGGTAGGATAACAGCAGCATCCAAAACTGGGGTGTGAGGAGGAGGGTCGCTGGAAACGGTACTCTATCAAATGTCCTATTTTTCACTATGGTTTTTTAGCTAGTGGCGATGTTTCACCATTTTCATTTCCAATGCTTTGAAGATAATTCTACAAAAACCTCTTATTTAAAAAATAAAAAAGAAAAAGTCTGTATGGATATTGCATGAGCTATTAATTTCCATACGTGTAGTTGTGATGAGCCCAGAAAAACGTTCAACTTTGAGTCGTGTATTTCAGTTCCCAGTAACTACTAGAACAGTAATGTTGGCAGAAGAGTGCCCTTTCAATAGAGATTTTACTTTTTTTTTTGTTGTCTTCCTGTTTCTGTTTCTTTTTAGCCACCAGCTAAATACCTCCTGCCAGAACTGACAGCATCAGACTATGGGAAGAAGTGTGTGGTCATTGATTTAGATGAAACTTTAGTGCACAGTTCATTTAAGGTAAGTAAATTCAAAAGCGATCTCTTGCAACTTGGATCTCTCAGTGAATGTTGTAGGAACTGTTAAGCCTCTTCACACATTATCTGGTCTTACAGGCTCTCCCAGGATGCCTGGTGGTTCTCATTGTTACTCCTGTGATTATTCGTCCTAATTTAGCTGTAAGGCAAGGAACACAGACATTGCTATTTATTTGTTTCTGAGAAAGTCACACCGACTGCAACAAGGCCTGGAATGGTTATTGACTGTAGGACTTTAAATGGTAACTATTCCAACAAGGACCTGTTGGAACAGCTATAGAACTTGTTGCTGTGAAAATACGGTTTTGTTTTGGATATTAAAATTATGTCATAGTTAGTCCAGGAGTTAGTCTGGAAATTCAGCGCAGCTTTATGCTAGGTAGATGTACCTTACGCCTTAAGATTGTGGGCACCAGGGATTGCTTTCCATGCCAGGCTGCTGTCCCAATGGCAGTAAATGTTGTTCAGCATTTCAGCTTTCACAACATGAAAGCAAATAGCATTTAGCTATTGCTGATGAGTCTGTCATCTTGTAGAAGGAACTTGTATAATCCTTCAGCTTTCAGCATGTGGCGGAAGTAGTGGTATTTTTCTATTGTTTAAATAGGGCTAAAGGTGTAGAATAGGAGAATTCAGAAGTGCAGATAACCTAAATAGTCTCAGAGTACTGGTAGCACTTCTGATTAGCAAATCATAGAATCATTAAGGTTGGAAAAGATCTCTAAGATTGTCCAGTCCAACCGTCCACCCAACACCACCATGCCTACTAAACCATGTCCTCAAGTGCCACATCCACACGTTTTTTGAACACCTCCAGGGCTGGTGACTTCACCACCTCCCTGGGCAGCCTGTTCCAATGCCTGACCACTCTTTCAGTGAAGAAATGTTTCCTGATATCCAATCTAAACCTGCCCTGACGCAACTTGAGACATGAAATGTCAGACATGCTAGAGTGTGTACTAGTTTCATACTTCAATACTGGAGAATTTTTCAGAATCAATAGTATGTTTCCTTACTAGTTGCAAGATGGAGTTACCACCAACTTTATAGTCTTCTAGTTTTGGTTGCACTCCATTTCTCACTGCTAGCATAAACTGAACTTTTTAATCCTGCAGTATTTAGTTGCCAGCATTTAAATATGCAAACCATAATTCACATTGTGGTTAGAATTTGGCAACAGCCTGTCTTTGTTGACTTAAAGCAGACCTTATATGGAGATACTAGAACAAATATTCCTCTGCCTCGTACTGAAGAGAAGATTCTTCTCTGTCTTTATTGTGCACAATGGTATATAACAGTTTGTGGTGGCTTACAGGAACCTCTTAACCTCAGTGCCAGATCATTGTCTTCTACAACCAGACTGAACTTGCACTGGAGAACTTTTCAGGGGGACTAGAACACAACTGAATTGGGAAGGGAGGGACCATGCCTTCCTAATTAACCGAGAGTCAAAAATAGGAAGGGAAAGCTGAATTTAAAAGTCTAAATTTACATAAAAATAATGAAGTATTTGGCTTAGCATTATCTGAAATGTAAAAATAAAAGTTTGTTTTCTGAATGCTGTGGGTAACTTTCTGCTGTGATTTTTCTGGTTTTTGAAGCACAAAGATTTGATTTGGGTGGTTATTAACTTTCTGTAACCGTTTTCAAGAAGTACGTTTGATGGCTGACAGTGTAAATACTTTCTTGTAGGACTGAGGTTTGCCTTTATTGCACAGTCCTTTCTTAGTGGGCTCATTTTAATCCATTTATTCAAATGATATGAAATGGGTATTTAAATGATGTTAAATAAATATTTAAGAAAAATCAAAAGGTTATTCTACTTAGCTTGACCACTGAATAACGTGTTAGGAAAAAAACGTTCCCTTTTCCTGTGAAGTAAATAGCGTGACGCAAACGTTGGAATTTCTGCAGTATCAGAGTCTTACGGCTGCGGTGGCATTATCTTCATGTGAAGCCCTGTGATGGGAGTACGTAAGAGAAAACCAGTTGCTGGAGGAGGTGGCTTTGGTGGTTTTTGTGGCTGGCACTGTCCAGTGGTGCTGTTTGGGTTGTGTTTCGTAAAGGGAGATGCTTCAGCTGAAGTGAGGCCATTGCGGTCATCAAAATAACGATGGGTTTCCTGAAGAGCAGGGCTTTTAACACCTGTATGCACACTGCTCTGCCTGAATAATCAAGTTACTTTTGCAGTTTCTTTTAGTTGTATTTTTTCCCCGCACTAAAACTTCTCTGCTCTACCCAGGCAGGTCCCCACTTAAAAGCTGTAAAAGCATACATAAATTTGGGATTTTTAGTACAAAGGGCTTTATTTAAAACACATGGTATTTTAGAATTCATAATTCTGTTATGAACTAGGTTTCATATTTCAAATGCAGATAAATTTTTTTTAACACAATCAGAGAGGCAGAGTATTTAAAGTGCTCTTTTCTGAAAGAAGCAACATCTGAAGGAGGGTAATTTTTGTCTTTTTATGCCCCTGCATATTTGTGAAGCTTTAAGGAGGTACTAGTCTTTCATGTGAAGTGCATATTAAAGGAATAAAGTTTGGGGTGCTTTGGCATGAGTAAAAAAGGAATAGATAGACATTATAGTTATCGTTCCCATCATAAAACAATAATAGAAGCAAAAATCATAAATTATTAAATCAAGGAGATGTAAACATGGTTTTGTATAAAATGAAGTAAACCACATGCAAGTCTGGAATGTAGTCATATTCAAAACTGGCTGTGAAACTCTTTTAGAACGTCTAAAACTCTGAAGCTTTTTATTGAATAGAAACAGTTCTAACCGAAGTAAAGATTTTCCATGGAAATACGTTGTCTTCTTTCATGCTCTGTCTCTGTCATTCCCACTGGAGGCATGGACGTGCTTCACGTGTGCAACCCCAGAAGCCTTTATCCAGCAAACTGTTGCAGACTTTTCTCCTGTCTTCCCACCATGATGAAGCCCAGAACCGCAGTCCATGCTCCCTTCCTTATCGCTTGTGCCAGTAAGCAAGCTACGTAGTGCCTATAGTGTAAGTAGGGGAAGCAAATACGTAGTTAAGAGTAGTTTGGTTAGTGTTACAAAGTCTAAGGGTGAGTTTTATTTGTTAGCAAAAGTGAAGTTGTCTAAACAGAATGTGGCTTTCTCTGACCTCTGGTTGCTGTTGCGCCTGTTAAGAAAGTTTAGTCATAGCTGTGTTTTTGTCAGTGGGCTTCAAAACCCGTGCAATTTGCAGTGACCTATTCTGTTGCTACAGAATATTTATCTTGCTTAAGGGAGTCATGCATATATACATTCTTCAAGTGCCTGCAAGTCTCTTCAAAGTATGCACGGAGCTGGCACCCGCTTGAAAACTTTGGTGGCTGAGGCTTACTGACAGTTCATTTGGGTTACTTTTAAGGTGAAGCTTCAGAACATTTTTGCGTACCTGTTCCCTGGCTGTTAGGGAGGCTGCGGAGTATCTTCTCTGTCTGAGGGGCTTCATGCAGCCAACAGCTGGGAGCCTCCCCTCTGTCTTTCCCAGAAGCAGAAAGGGAGGTGTATCTTGGAAATTGTTTGATGTCAGCTAAAAAAAAACCCAAATTATATCTGCAGGTATTTGGGGAATTCTTTAGATCATCCTAGCACAGTGGTCATCAACAGGGTGGAGTTCTCCAGTATCGGCAGCTCTGGAGGTTTGGTTGCCAGCACTGGTTGGCCAGGACGAGTAGATTTGGTGTAACTTCTCATTTCCCTCGACGCAGCACTTGCAGGTGTTGGATCAAAGCGTCTTCCTTATTGCCTCGCTACTGAGAGAAGGTGTTGCCCTCCGTATAAATTCTTACAGTCGTTTTGCTCTCCTCACAAGAATGCCATTTACCAGTGGAATTAGAATCTCATTTTTCTAGGGAATGGGAATCAAAGTGATGCTAATGATTCTCCTTCTCTGGAGATATTCAAGACCCGCCTGGACAAGGTCCTGTGCAGCCTGCTCTAGGTGACCCTGCTTCGGCAGGGGGTTGGACTGGGTGACCCACAGAGGTCCTTTCCAAACCCTAACATTCTGCAGTTCTATCAGGTTAATACTGCAGGATTCTCTTTTCCTACTGTTTTTCACAGAGTACCTGTTTAGGCTCACCAGTTTGTGACCACCTTCTCCATCTCTTTACCTTGGCTACCTCTCTGCTTTTTCTTGGCACCCTCTCGCCCCGGCCCCAGATGGATTTGAAGACTCTTCCTAGTCTTGTAGGTTCTTCAGGGGCACCTCCTTGGTGGTACTTGAGATCAGTCTCTTGGCTGATCCAGAAAACCAGGTGGCAAAGTCTGTACAAGTGTGATAGAGCTGAGTGAAGATGTTTTCCACCTTATTAACGCTGTACCAGCTACCAGCCAAACTACTCCCGGCCTTCGCTGCAGGCTGCTGTCCGTGAAGCGTATCGTCTGTTCGTCAGTCCTGGTAAAGCTGTGTTTGGCAGCTCCGTCTCTCAGCCAGTTCCAAGCTGCAGATCGCTGGACGAGTTACAAACTTCAGCGGGGCATGTTTACATGATTTATTTTTTTTTTTAATCACGGACGTAATGCGTGAGCCATACCAAAGGATTCTGCCAAGTTTGATGTCCAGTTGAACTAGTAAACATTCTTAGCTGTGCATCCCCCAGCTGCCGTTACTGCCCAGCCAAGATCAGGCTATGTACTCCTAAACTGCCTACAAGGACGCTTCTCTGCTTTCCAAAGTCACTTTACTTGATCAACAGTTTTCGCAGTAAGACTCAAGAAATATGTTGTATTCAACGTACTAGAAAAATGGATTCAAGGACTTGGACGTAGTGTGCCTGGTCTTCCGTTTTGAATTAAAATGCAGTTTTATATGATTAATGTCATTGGTGTAGCATGTTCTTGAGGTATCGCATCTTGAGAATCATTTAACTATACCACTTCAGTCTTGTTGCAGCTTGTTGCAGCTCCTGATTCAAATATAACCTTTAGGTATTACTGTTACCACTGTCTTTATTGTTATTTAATTGCTAATTGATCACTCTAAGCAGAATATGTGAAGCGCACAGCTGAATTTCATTATCCACACTGACTTGATGAAACAGGTATCCAAACAGATTTGTATCCTGGTAGTGGGGGTTATTCAAGCAGTAAAGCATATTACATAGTAGCTTAAAAAGATGAGGGAAGAGGGAAACGCAGTATCCAGTGATTACGGCTGCGTAAGGCTTCTGACTTGTGTGTGTAAAGGGCACACACGCAGAGTGGATTTGTGTAATCGATAATGCTTATTAACTTCTTCCTGAGAAGTAAGTACTCCTTTCTTTTATGCCTCTGAATTTTTCCCTCTCTAATGATCGTATTTTTAATGTTGATTTATTTCCTTCTCTTTCTTTCCAGCCAATTAGCAATGCTGATTTCATCGTTCCTGTTGAAATTGATGGAACCATACATCAGGTAAGCGCTGTTGTGCCTTTAGCGTTGTCCTGGTAGTGGAACTGTCCTCAGAGTCCCGGAGCGTTACCTTTCTCCTTTTGCTGCTTCACATTCAATAACTTCTCCTTGTGCGAAATACAAAAGCTGTGTGCTCTGGAATGCATCACCCAGACGGGTATCCCAGTTCGATGGGCTAGATAACTTCTAACTACTCAGTCTCGATTTTGCCTTCTTCAGTTCTCCAGAATATCTCTCTCAGTATTTCAATACTTCATTCCTTGTCAATTTTAAAATATTTTCAAACAGGAAATGATCTAAGGATGGGTTTTCAAACATTGCTAGGCCCAGAAAAAACTACTTGAATACTGCATTTGTCGTTCCCTGTGCAGACAAACAGGGCATAGGTTGACTGCAGTGTCTGTTGGTAGTTCGTATGGACAAAGCTTTATAAAAGTTTTAAGGAAGAACAGACATTTCTTCCTTTTTTGTGGCAATCTGTGTTGAAGTTCTGTCCCTGTTTCTTCCTGTAAGTAATTTAAGTTCCACTGATAGGACTTTTTATACACTTCAGTATCTTTAAGAGATCCAGACAAAATTGCAAGGAGACTAATTTTTATGTCTTATTTTTTAAGAACTTTGCTTAAGACTCTGTGAAATGGTTTTCAGTAAATGCAGAACACCGATAACTTGAAAATCAGTCCCCTTCATGTGTCTTAGCTTGACGTCTTTAATCAGTAGTCATTTCTGAAAACATTGTATGAAATAAATTACGTGCTGTAAATTTTCCTCTTTAGACAGACATTAAAGTTCTTGCTGGAGACGGGTTATACTGGTTAATGTGGAGTTGAGCCGTTCTGACACAGGAATCTTGCCAATTATTTGAAACGTCTGCTGTTGGTTGTTGTAGGTTAAAGACAATGTGGTTATTGAGTTGAAAATCTTCCCTGGATGCAATTCAATGGAGATTTTAAATACTTTAATTTTTGAAATATTGTCTGTTATATATAGATTATTTTTATTTGGACAAATCTCTTCCTATTATTATCTTGGAACAATTAATAGATCATGAAATTAGTTCATAGTTTTGTTTGATTTTCTGTTATGAAAACCATCGATGTAATTGTCACTCTTAAAATAATTACTAGATACCAGTCAGTGGACTGAAACATGGTTTAAAGTGATAGTTGCTATGTCATTTTCTACAGCGTGCCTGTTTTATGTAGAAAAATTCAGTATGTAGGGTACTTAGATCCATAACATTCACCAGAGCTGAAAGTTTAAAGTATGTGTGATGTTTTGGGAGGTTTGTATTGTGATATTGTTGGTCCTTGTTTGATGTGGGCTTCAGTTGTGTTTGGTGCTGTAACACAGACATTTTCTCTCCTAAGACTTTCTAGAGTGCCTTTGAAAGGGAGTGAAGTAGGTTGCCTAACAATTTTGAGTGGTTTAGGATTGTGATCATTGGCTTGTCAAGATTATGTATTTACATTTTGAAAGAAAACCCAGTAAAAGACTGTTTGGGCTTTACAGTCAAGCACTTCCAAAGCCGGTTGCTTTTCCGTTCCCCGCTGTAGACTTGCAGGTTTTTCACCAAATGTAGCACAGATAGGCACTCAAGATGACTGCATATGGTGGGGAAAAACCAGCCAAACAAACAAAAACCCAGCTGGTCAAAGGGAGTAAAATGTGAGCGGGAGGAAGGATGCTCTTGACAGAGGAGGTCAAGTTTAGTTAGTCTCCGACTGTGCTTGCTGCAGACTTCCCACATAATTTTCAAGGAAATTGCTTAATCCCTTTGTGTTTCAAGTTCTTAATCGCTAAAATAGGTAAAAATCTGAGTCACATCTGGGTGGTAGAAATGAAGTGAATTGCGAGGAATTTGTGATCCTTGAAATAAAGGTAATTTATGCAGTATGCAGAATAGGCAAAGTCTTGGATTCCTGAGTCTGTAATACCTCTGCAGGCAAAGTAGTGCACTATTCTTCAGCAGTCCTCTTTTTTTCCCTTTTTTGTGATAATCTAAAGGGTGAAAGCAGACGTTCTGGCTTAGTCTGATGTGCATGAACACAGGCTGTAGAGCTTTGACAATCAGTTCCCACTGCAAACCTGTAATTTTTTTTACTCACTTAGAGCTTAAGCTGAACAGATAATCAACAATTTTTATTATCTGTCAGAATTTGTCATCTGTATAATGCTTGTCCATTTTCTTAAGCAGTTTATGTTCTGAAAGATCATAACTATGCCATAATCATTGGCATTGGGAAACACTTCCACATGTTTAAAATATCATGGGATATGTGAAATGTTGTGGAACCATACTGTCCGGTGTCCCTGTCTGCTTTACCAGTAAGCCTCATATCTTATCGAGCAGGAGATTGTCTGACAGAGTATTGTTGCACTTGAACACTGCCTTAGGCAGAACCCCTCGAAAAACAAATGGAGAACAACATTTCAGAAGTGCCCGTTCAGAAGGAAATTTGATATTACACGAGATTCTTCAGATCTCATATATCAAAAATAGAAGCTGTGGCAAATTCGATTGCCGTATGCCTGAAAGAGTTTGGAGACTGGCTTAGCTAACAAGTTTTGTTCATGGTAAATGTTGTAATTTTTTATTGTGCAACAGAGGTATTCGAAAAAGGCTGTCTTTAGTGTGGGGAGTTTATTTTCCCTTATGTCATTTATGTCTAGCTTAATTTACTGTGCCTTTAGAAAGGATTTGTCATTTTATTTTACCAGGAAATAACTCGTGTGTGGAGGTGCCTCTCTTTCCTTGTGCTGCGGGTCTTTGGGTGCCCACAGGGACCGTGCCCATCTGCAGGGCAGCGAGAGGCAGAGGGGCGAATCCCACACTCTGCGCTGGAAGCGATGGCACAGATACAAAGGGGCAGTTCTGACGTGAGCTGACACTCTCCTGGCCAGTTCTCTCATTTCTCTCGGGTCCTCCGAACAAAACGAAATTGGAGCTGGTCCCCTGCTCTACCAAACTGTAAATGAGGAATGGGGGAAGTCCAGTGAAATGTGTTGCGACTGAGGGTGCTCTTTAGAGGAAGTTTATTGAGGATGAAGGTGGTGGCTGGGGAAGAGATGCTCAGCCTGTTTGGTACCCTTCATGTAACTCCTGCAAGAACACATCCTCTCTTTTGGGGCGTGCTTCGCACTTAACAACTGCAGAGCAACCCCAACCTCAGATTAGAAACCATGTGTTAAATATAGCTTTAATCCACGACGGGTGAAGATTTTTAGGGTATGGTGGTCCTTTGTCTTTTATCCAAATTAACTTGCAGTGCCTCTGTACCTCACTATCAGTGTCAAAGAGTGACGATGGCAGCTGGGAAGAGTTCGATTCAGTGTTACTTGGAATTTCATTCTTGCATGTAATTTGTTTATTAAGTGAGTAAAACTAGTTTTTAATTGGTTTTCTAATATTCAAATAACAATTGCTGAATTGTTGAAAGCTAAAGCAATATTTGGCATGTATGATTTTAATATGCAAAGTGTTTTTTATTGGTGGGGAAAACACTGTTCAAATAATAAACTTTCTTTCTATAAAGGACAAAATTTGTTAATTTTCTTACAGAAGGCTGTGGCCTGGTTCAAGTAATCCAGGATAGGCTGTATCCATTCTAGCTGGCCTATTCTTGGTTACTTGCACTGGGAGGCAACCACAACTGTGTCAACCAGAAAGACGAGGCCCAAGGACGTGGGTTATTTTCTGCTTGCTGTTAAGAAGAAGCACCCAGCCCACGAAAACAGATTACAGGAGCTCGAGTTGTCACGGGTGGATTTCTTTGTCATTACTTGAAGATTTCATGGTTGTGAAGCTGGTTTTGAGGGGCAATTCTTTGCATCCTTTTTAATTGATTAAAATTGAGCTGATTTTCTCTTCTGGTTTACAAATACTGAGTCTTTTTACATTAAGACTGCTTTAAGGTATAGAAAATATTTATGGAAATACCAACTGCTTGAGAACAATTAAAGATAATTACCTGTGTTCTGCCATTAGCAGCTGTAAGTACTGAATCCTGTGAAAACATGCCTAGTGCCCGACCTGTGCCTTAATGTTTTAAGAGTAAGGTTCATTTTAAACAAATAAAAAAAAAAAGGCTGTATTCCTCTAAGTTCTTACTGTGATAAGGAAGAAATTAGTGAGCATCCAACACAGAAAAACTGGAGGGTTTTTTTTAATGCACTGAAGACAGTTTATAAATCTCGGAAAAAATGCCAGGAGTCAGTTAGTCTAGAGACTTAAACTGAAGACATCAGGCGACGGAGGAAAAAGCCAAGCCACAAATAACCATGCAGCATTGAGATTCAAGTCCAGCCGCTAACAAAGTAAAAGGGAAAAAATTCCAAATGAGGAGGAAGAGGAGAAAAGAGCTGCACTGTCAGCTGAAGAAAGGTTTTTATGTGAAGCAAACCAAAGAGATTTTGTAGCCCAGGATACCGGTACACTTGCAGTTGCTTCCAGGATCTAAGTAGGACTTCTCAAAAAAACTTCAAGGGGAATAACCATACAGAGTATTAAGATATGTTGTTCTGCAAAAAAAGCCAATGTTATTTAAAAAATAAAAAGGAAGGGGAATGAAGGAGTTGGGGCTTTTTAGAGAGGGAGAGGATTAAGGGAAAAATTTGGTGAGACCTCATCTTAAGAGGTCAGATTTATTCTTGATAAGGCATTTAACAGGAGGGGCAAATCTGTTGGCCGGAGCCCAGCAGGTCAGATTTAAGGCAGAACGGCAGGAGAAACTCCGGTAGAGGAGGTTGAGGGTGCTCTGTGGTGGATCTGGAGATTTAAGCTGCAGGATGGAGACAATAGAACTAAAAAATGTTGTGTACTTAGAGCTAATGGTGCCTTGTTGCAGTATTAGGAGAGCTACAGATTGCCAAAAGAGTGCATACTGCAAATACTTGCTTTTATAAGCCCACTCCTGTCCGCAAGCCTGTGCTGAAGGAGCCGTGGATCAGTAGCTGCTGGGTTGATTTAGTATATGCTCTCTTTATGGAGGAGGTGGGTTGTGTTGCAAGCAGCAAAGTTCATATCCTTGGCTTGGAGTTTGGGATTCCATTCCAAATGGAAATACTTCACTGACGCAGGCATAGATAGGATGGGAGAGCAAAGAGACTTGTTCTGCTGTGGCTGAAAACACTGGGTTTTAAAAGGGAAACCCGTGCTGAATTCCAGCACTTAGTATCCAAGAATGACTTCAAGACTTGAGGGCACGAAAGGGACACCCCAAAAAATAAGTGTAGGAATACAGTTGAAGGCTAAAAATTTAAGAACTTCTTAGGAACTGTAGAGTTAAGGAGTAACTCGCGTCCTGCTGTCTTTGCTCTTGTTACTGGCAAGTCAGATAGTCTCTGGGTGCCCAAAGGCAGAGGGGCTGCAGCTGTCTTTCTACATGTGTCTTTACAAATCTGAAGGTATAGTTCGGAAAGGAAATATGACAGAACAACTTTGTGTAGTAAGATTTAAGTGAAAAATTAATTGCATTGTTACAGGAGAGGAAATTACTTGGTTTATGCCTAGTGAAATGCGGGAAACTTTGCTAGAGCGGTGTTCAAGTACATCTGTTAACTGTTTTTAATGCATAAAATGTCACATTTTTTAATTAATTGGTGAAGTGCTGCTATGGTTTAAAAAAAAGTAAATCTGGGTTATAAACTGTTATGTGTATCAAAGTTTGAATGTATTGTTTGAATTTGAGGGGCCAGAAATAATTCGGTTAAACTTCTTAGAAGTAACTTCAAGGAGATCAAGTCTTCATGCTATGATCTATATGCTGCATGAAGTGGAAAAGTAATTAACATTTCTACTTTAGTCATGAAGGTGCAGCTCCATCATATATGTTTACAACAAAACTGTGCTTTCAGATTTAGGATTTCAATTTCAAGTCCCTGGTACGCAACTTCTTTTAATCTTTTGCTAAAGGCTGTAATTGTTACACTTCAAACTGGCATTTCCATATTTTTCTCCTTCAGACTTTTTCTCTACGTGCCTTATGTTTTTTGCCTTTTTATTAATACAAGTGTAGTAAAACAATTAATCTAGTTCTGCATATCAAAGAAAGAATTTCCTGAAGTTGCATCAGTCTTGCGATTCTTTCTGAATTCAGTTATATGCCAGACTCCTCCACTTGAAATTTCCAGTATTAAGGATGATTTGCCAAATGGAGAAGATAAAATGCTGCCAGTGTTTTCTCTCAAACTTTCAATCTAAGTGCAAACAAGATAGCTAAATATTTTTCAAGCAGACTCTTCTATTCAGCTTCCAGTATATTGTGGGCCAGTTGTAAGCTTTTTGAGCAGCAGTTATCTTATCTTGGTATTTTCTGGGAACGCAAATCATCTTCCTTGCTCTGAAAAGAGAGGCGAGGAGGCTCTCGTGTCTATTAATCAGGTTGTTGACAGTAGGCAGCCAAGCTCGCCTGTATGGCTGTCAGTGCAAAAAGGCAAGATAGCACTGCTGAAACCAAGCTCCTCAGGAGGAGAGAGATCCGGAGTGTTTACGATCTTTATAGTCACAGTAGAGGATTTTGTAGACTTTGCCACCGAATTTTGAAAGCGGCATTTGCTAGACGTGCTGCATGGTGCTGTGAAGATTTTTGGTGAAAGCTCTCTGCAGAGCTGGGTGACGGATAACTATCTGTAGTGAGTGTCTGGAATTTTAAAAATGAAAAAATTAGCCACAGGAAGAAAAATATTGTTCCTTCTTGTGCAATTCCTGTCGTCATAGAGGTTTCACCAGATTTATTCCTTCTGTAAAGCTCTTCAGGACTGAAGACACCAGCACCAAAATCGTTTCGGTTGCAAGATCTGAATCGTTGCTTCTTGAGAAGCCCTACTCTCTCTCTGTGCCTTTAATGAGATTTTTTTCAAGAAGCATCACTCCAGATGATGCACAGGATTTGCAATTGCATAATCAGCATGGGTCTTGGCAGCCCATGCATTCAGATTTCTCATTATTGGATGTCTGCTTTCATCTTGTACACTTTTTTCTTTTCTGCATTTCATTTGAACTGCTTCCGTGTTGTTTCTTCAAGTGTTAGGATTACAGTAGTGTTTGGTTTTGTTTTTTTTTACTTTTACCTTAAAACACCATTTGACCTAGTCGGTCGTTGTCATTCCAGGTTTATGTATTGAAACGACCACATGTGGATGAGTTTCTTCAGAGGATGGGAGAGCTCTTTGAATGTGTACTCTTCACAGCCAGTCTAGCCAAGGTTTGTTCCTCTCTCCATCTCGTTAGCCCTTACGGTGATGGTCAATGGACTTTTGGTTGGGTTTTCTATAGATAATTATTTTCACGGTTGGTACTATCTTAATTTTTCCCCTTCTTTTCTGCTTCTTTGTCTGACAGTGTGTACTTTGTCTGCTAGTGTGTGGGTAAGTGTTTCCATGGTAACACCATCACATATGGGCTCGTCTCATAATGTAGCCTCCATGCATTGCTCATAATGCCAATATGAAAGGCTTACAAGTTACCATGGTTATAGTGAGAAATTAGAGCAAATAGCGTGCGAGTGAAGTCGTATACTAAAGGTGGGCATGAAATAAAATACACTGTATTTAACAGTATCTACATGATCAACCACAGTGATTCAGAAATTTACTGCGTCTGAAAATTGGGAACACGTTTTTGTTCTGTCAAGGTGCAATTGTAATCTGGAGTTAGAAAATCAGACCCTATGTAAAGCTTGAAACATCAGCAGGAGTATTTTGTGCCCTCTGGTCTCCGGTAGCAGTAGTACCTTGTAGGTAGCTTTGTGGTAGACGTTACAGTAGTAAACATCTTAAATTCTTCCCTTCTTTCAGTGTGTTGTATTTGTGGTGTCTTGTTTGTAAAATTATATTGTCTATTTCTAAAGAATACTCTAGTGTAGTAAGCTTTTACTCTAATGTAGTGTAGAGGTGGTGGAAGGGGACAGGACCCCGTTTGATCTGCTGATGCTTCCCTAGGCTCTGTTTACAACGTTCTGTTCAGTCACATTGTGAAAATCCTAAAGAACGGAACAATTTCATACTGCAGTTAGACGTCTGGCAGTTTTCATAGTCAAAAGATGATTCATTGATCATCGTAGTCAAAAGAGGATCAATTTCCACATCAGTTTCATTTCTCAGTTTAAAATACAGGAAAATGGTAACTCCTATCCTGCAAAAATAAGTAATAACTACCATTTTCAAGTACATGATTATTTCGTCTTGTGGTTTATTTGGATACTTTTCCTAGGACAGTTTGTATCAGTTGCTGGTTTCTAAGCTGTGCCTCACTTAAATTATCATCTTACATATAAGATGAGAATTTCCCAGTATTGTACATGGATATTTTACATAATAACATCTTTGTCTGATCTTTTACGGCCCAATTATGCAGTGTGGTAATCTTAAGATTCTTACTGACCTGATAGCTTCATGGGCATCATTTGAAAAAGCTACATCGAGCTCAGGTCGCTTCATGGCCATTTATCTTCAGAGGCACATGGAAGTGAACCGGCTGTGGAAATGGGTTCATGCGGATTTTCTGTTAGCGTTGGTTGGTTTTATGGTAATGTTAGGTGAGATCTGTGGATCCAGCAACTTCCAGGGTAGCTGTAAGTTGTCCCTACGAATAAAACCTAATCAGTAAGTGACAGATCACAGTGTGCAAGTTAGCCTTCCATAGAAAGATAACCGTCCTACTTTTGCATTATCTTTCTGTTAATCACTTCAGGTTTGCAGGCATGTAAGTTAATTAACAAGGAGCAGCGAAGAAAATGAAGAAAGGGCATTTTACCTGAAATTAGTTAGTGTGTCTTCTATGTATAGTTCTGTGAATTAGCTTTATCTACACATTGCTGACTTCATGTTTCTAACTTCTATTTTTAAGTATGCAGACCCAGTAGCCGACTTGCTGGATCGCTGGGGTGTGTTCAGGGCAAGGCTCTTTAGAGAATCCTGTGTTTTCCACCGAGGAAATTATGTGAAGGATCTGAGTCGACTGGGACGTGAGCTGAGTAAAGTTATTATAGTAGATAATTCTCCTGCATCTTACATCTTCCATCCTGAAAATGCAGTAAGTATTCTTCGTATGTGAAGTATTCAAGCATAACTTTATTTTTCTGGTCCTTGCCCAAGACTTTCTGATTCAGAAAACACTTTTTCAGAATGTTAACTGTGTTGGCTTCTGTATTTTCTTAGGCTGCAGGTAGGTTCTAGTCTGCACTGCCAAATGGTGGAGGAGTAGGGCAAACTGATCTTGACAAGGTGTCATAGTCGTGACTGTTCATCTGCTTTCAGGTTTAGCTTCCGGCGTGAAGTCCATCAGGTTTGAGAAATACCAAGTGGTGTAGAACCTGAATAACCTAGCTCTAAAAAGGGAGGCTGCCCTCCAGCATAGTTTTTGTTCTTTGGAGTAGTGATTACAGAGAGAATGGTTCACTTGAATTGCTTCTGGTACTCCATCTTTTTTTGTTGTGTGAATGAAAATATCTTATTAGAGAAGATAATTAATGCTTTACCGGTTACTGTCAGAGTTCTGTATTTGTGGCTAAGGGGAAGAAAAAAAAATCAAGATCCTCCTGTGTTGTTACGCTTCTCCTTTGAGTATTTCTGTGATAACTTGCTTCCTAATTAGAAATGTTAGACAACAAGTTCATCAAGTTTTAGGAATAAGGATAAAAGGCAGGCAGCAGTACTTCAGGGAGAATAGTTAGGAGCAGCGTGCGTTTTCACTGTGTGTTTCCAGTCAGTTCCAGAAGCTGTACTGGGATGGTCTGGCACTTGCTCCATCCATGGCTGCCGTCAGTACAGATGCTCACATCTGTTTCGTAGCTGCCAGGACAGCAAGCTGGAACTCCCCTTAGATCTGCTGACGTTTAAACAACCAGGCTGTGCAATGTTTTCTCTGATATTTTTAGGCTGTCTTTTTTGTCAGCTGTTAATGTCCAAAATTTTCATTAGGGATGCTGTTTTGCATGGTCGTGCCTCTCTGGAATAGCATTTTTATTTTTTTATGTGAGGTATTTATCTTGCAGCCGTCAGCTTTTAAATTCAGCTCCTAATACTGTGATAGCTCTAAATGATTGGGTGAAAACATTTTTCTGGTTGGTGCCACACATGGTTTAAAGTTGCTATTTATAATAACCAGGAGCTGTAGCTCCAATTTATGTTCATGGTTAAAATTAAAAGCCTGATCCAGATCGTCATTTGGTATCTTGGAACTCAGTGCCAAGAAAATAATGAGCTGTAGAAATTTGAAAGATGAAATGAAGGGCCTTGTCAGAGTGGTTTAATCATGTATAGAAAAGTGCTGCTAGCTAACTGATATTTGAGTCTCTGCAGAAACCAGAGCTTGTAACAAGATCCAAGATAGTCTTTAAAAGACCTCAGTGTACTTCCATAGTGAAGATACACAACACTCGTTCCCTAAATCCAGCCCACATATTTAAGGAGTGTTGTTATATGCATTATTTTCTGAACCCGCTCCCAAGGTCTTATATTTTAATCAGGGAACTCTTCTGTACTGGCTGTTAAAATATTCCCTCCGCAGCCTCGTGCCAGGAGGGGTTGTTGCTGCATGTCTGTGTTTAGTGACTCACACTGATAATACTTAGAGGGGGAAAAAAAAGACTTGCCTGTAAATAAAGTGTCAGTACAGCTTCATAACCTGTATCCTCCTTCCAGTCTATTCCAAATATCAAGGAGGCCGAGCAAATTGACCTGTCCAGTGTTGGGTCATGTAGGTTACCTGGACGTGTGGGAGAAGGTCAGCTGCAGGTCAGCTGCTTTATGGTTGGATTTGGGGTTGATGTTGGGTACTAGAAAATGTGAACTTGAACCTGGTACTCTGCTTGAATGCTGATGACTAGCGATTCGCCTTGCTGTGGTGGGAGTATCACAGGATGTCTACATAGGCAAAACTCACACGTTCTTCACGTGGTAAAGTCATCTTGATACTTACTGGCTGCTTTCTTTCAGGTACCTGTGCAGTCCTGGTTTGATGACATGACAGACACAGAGCTGCTAGACCTTATTCCTTTCTTTGAAGGACTAAGCAAAGAGGAAGAAGTTTACAGTATGCTTCATAAACTCTGCAACAGGTAGCCCTTAACTTTGACTGACTTCTGCTACTCGATTGCAGTTGCTAGAGGCTGTCTCCGTCTTCTTCAGCTCTTTCAAATCTAAGCTTTGGGGAGGTCGCCCCTGTCAGAAGTGCTACTCTTGATCTTCCTGTTACATTGGACACGAAGGACAATCATGAGTGATGCTATTAAGCCTTCAGAAGCCTGACTCCTAGGTCATGTGTTCAGACTACTTTTTTAAAGGAAAAAAAAAAAAAAAAGCTATTTTAAATGGGACTCTTTTAATGAATTTCATAAATGGACATCTTTTACTGGATCAGCTTTTCTTAAAACATGCCAAAAAAGAAGCTTGTATTTCAGCAGTTGAATTTCTCTCCCTTTCTTCCCTTCCCACTATGCAGACAATTTTACCCCCCTGCTTAGAGCAGTTGACCTGACTCTGAATTTTTTCTTACAGAATGAAGTGCCTTTTTGAATGTTATTTTAAGATAAAAATTCATTTTTGTATAAGACGTATTTCCAGACATCTTTTAGTCTTGTATTGTCTAAATGCTTTAAAAGGAAAAAGGAAAAATTTTATAGAGCACTGTAATATATAACAAAGGAAAAAGTTGAAACAAAGATGCTGGGTTCCTGTCTCCACAATGACATTAAGTTGTATTACGTTTGTCATGCTCAGAAGGTTTAAGCGTTTGTGGGAGGGGTGATTTGGGGTAATTACATGGTTGTTTCACTGATACGATTTTGGGCACAGTTTTGAACATATCTGCAGTTGTTTGAGTATTAGGGAATGATGGAATTGAGAAAATAAGGTGGCTAATCGATCCAAAGCACCTTTTCTCCTAGACAGATGAAGTTCTGTTGTCTCTGCTTACGCACAACTGCCATGCCTCTCGTTTTTTGGAAAACCATTATCTTGGGTGAATGGGGAGGAGATCTATTTATTAGTTTAAGATTCTTTTCTTAAAAAAAAAACAAAAACAACCCATCTGGGTAAGCTGGATCTGCATTGAGCTGTTTGGAGTACTTTTTTCTTTTAATTGCTGCTACTGTATACTCACCAAATGGAGTTGACCATCGGCTGTTATACTGTTTTTGCCACTGTGCCTGTGCTATGAAACATTTTCTGTAAGCTGCAAACTTGGGCAATAAAGAAAATGCAGGCTTCATAACCCACCCCTACGTATTAACCCTACGGTATCTGATATACCAGAGAACTCAGTTAAAGGTGACCTGCAAAGGAATTTTTTTTTTTTTTTTTTTTTTCAATTGGGATGAAGCCTTCTCCTTTCTTTGGTATATAAAAATGCAAAAAGTATTTTTCCCACATCTCTGATTTGTGTTTCTCCTTCCTCAAGGTGTAAGGTACAGACTAGGAGCTTTATGGAGTCTTGCTAGGAGGGCAGAAGTTACTAGCCTAGACTAAAAGCAGGCCTCTGGCTTTGGAGTTGAGTAAGTCTTATCTCTGAATCTGAGAACCTGCTGGGCATCTTCTGTAGTGCCATAGGTACCCTTTCAACAGAAGAACCTGTAGATATGTTAAGCCTTTGAAGAGCAAGGCATGCCTATTTTTTTTTCCTTTCCAGTTTCGCCTTTTAATTATTTTCCGCACCAGATATCTACAAACAGGAAAATGACAGCTGTGTTTGGCTGTCACTAGACAAAACTAAGTGGAGTGGTTGGTGCTTCTGGTTAGCCTTGTGCTAAATTCTGAATAGTAGATCCCCTTTGCCTTGTCTATTTTTCTTGAAAAGTCTTGATGACTTGGAAAAAATTTTTGCGATGGCCTTGGATTGTCATCCTTGTCTAAAACATGGGTGAAGCAGCTTAACAAATCCATTCATAGAAGGGCAGTGAGTAGATTGTTGTAGGTGCAGTATCAAGCTGCGAGGTGCCTTGCTCCCTTGCAGTGCAGCTGTGCTCCAGCTGCTTGCTTGCTCTGGTAGCAAGGGGTGGTAGAGGCAGTCCCCGACGCTCGTGAGTCTGTACGGCATCACCATTTTGTTTTCTTACCAGCTGGCATTACCTTAGTACTGTATAATTCTGTGCCACAACAAAACTGTCAGAGTAAAGAAAAAAAAAGAAAAAAACCCCACAAACCTACATTGTTTATAAAAAAGGAAAAGGACGTATGGATTCTGGTCAGTCCATTAACGTTGGCTTTCGGTTTAAGAGTAATTTTGTGTTTGACTTCAGAGTTATGAAACTGTAAGCTGCCAAAAAGTTGTTCTCTGAGCAGTATTTACAACTGTGTCTGTAGCTTCCAGGCTTCAAACACAGTTTGCAGGGAAGTATTCAGGTTGTAGTTAGTTGTGCAGGTATGATAGGAATGGCTGAAAAAATTCAAAGACTTTCTCGCTAGCATTAGACCAAACCATCTTCCAATGAGACAATAAATAACCCCGCCAAGACGTGACCGTGTGACGGCTGTGAGCTGGTGTACATGAGACGAGCCATGTCATTGGTTTGCGGTTATGAAAGCAGCGATTTCATGAACCAGTTGCCTTAAGTCTGTGAATGAATGTTGATTATTAAAGTGTCTTGTATTGTTTTAAAATCCGCATAGAATGGACAACGGAACTTCTGCACCAGCTTCTGGAAGAACGGTTCTGATGGTGTTCTGTACAACCATACTTGTTCTGTATTGTTTATTTTGGCTTTTGAAATCCACAAATTTCCAAAAAAACCCCTTATTTTAACTTAGCACAGCATTAAAACAACACTTGGTGACAATATAAAGGCGAAAAACTTAGCAACAATTTTTGATCTCTGCTGGTATCTTTAGAGTATTTTCTACAACTTCTGATTAATTTTTTTTTTTTTAAACTCATTCCCATTGAACTGAAACGTGGAGTGCTCTGCGGTCAGGTTTGGACTTCCCTCAGCATTCAGATTTTGGCCAAAGGGATCAAACTGTCGTGGTTGTTTATTTTGACACTGTCATCGTACTTGAGATTTCCAGTTTTAAGTTTGCGTGGATATACATACGCTATATATTTAGCGTTTTGAGATTTTAACAAAGCAATATAGTTCTGTCCTTAAAGTCAGACAATGAGTGGAATGTGTGTAAAATTTGCAATACGGGTATTTGATTGTATTTTGAATACAAGATTTTAAAAACTAAAATAGGAAAAAATACTTGTTTCCTAAATCTCTTGCATATTTTGAAGTGCAGTTAATGCATGCAGGTCACCAGGGCTGTTATAAACCCTGGTTTTCAATTCTATTTCTGGATATTATAGAAGTATTGAAAAAGTCTTTTCCAGCTGGTCATTCTGTTCAGCTAAAGAAATGCTGCTTGGCCTGAAGTTCTGTTGTCCTTTTTATGTTGGGTTAAAAAAGGTTTTTTGCCTGTATAGGTATTTTTAAATTAAACTGTAAGGCAGAATGCCTTAGATTCTTGAAATTCAACTGAAGTGTTACGATTAAATTGCCATTTGTAAACTAGGGCTGTGCGCAGAATACTCGTTAACCACCGGGCAGCGTGGCAGGCTTTGGACGGAAGGTCGTAGCCCATGTACAATGTTGCCGTGTTCATTTAGGTAGCTTTGGAAGAAGAATTCGTCTACTTGTTTTGCCTTGAATCTTTTTTTTAAGCAGCAAAGTTATACACGGAGGAAACTCGACACCTGAAGAGATTTGGTTGTCAGTGTATGCAATCACTTTTATCACAGCATGATTTTGGTTAGACTGGTTGGGGACAATAAAGTATCGAAATGACACCGGTGTGTGCTGATGTTGCAGCTTTTGAAATTTCAGTGTAAAAAAAAAAAACAAAAAAAAAATCTGTAGCTATCTAATTTACAATCACATAATCCTATGTTTTACAGATTCTTTTTAAACTAATAAAACACAGTACCGCACAGCCCTATTTGTAAAACAGAGAGAAGTTTGTGCCTCTGATTTCCCAGGTGCTGTGATGCTGCCGGTGCCTTTGTGGGGCGAGGAGGGTGGGCCAGGCGGGCGCGGGGCAGCGGCCGAAAAATCTCGGGGCTAACTATGCAAAACCAGCTGTCCGTTTGCTGTTTCACGTGATACTGTAAAAATCCAGCTGACTTTTTTTTCTTTCTTGTTAAAGATCTATTGGGAACTTCCTACCAGAGGAGTAAGCAATGGAAATGTTTCTTTCTTTTTTCTTTTTCTTTTTTTTTTTTTCTAATAATGGAGCTGTTTACACTTTAATGCAATGAACAATCCAGCGATACTTGAGAAACACTACAGACACCATGTGAGTGTTTTCAGGAGAGAGGACTGTTGTCAATCAGGTATTGAATGGTTTCTTTACTGTCACAAATAAAAAAAATTTTAACAATATAGTTACTTGTGCATGTAATGCTTCTCTGGGAAAAAGAATTTCCGCACTTCTTCAGTAACAGTCGCTACCCTGATTCGACAGGGACTTTATTCCTGCTAATGCACATCCGTGTTAGGTGGCAAAATCGCCTGTCTCTGTTCCACCCTCCTTGTCCTCTCCTCTGCTGAAGTCGTGTGTAGGCCTCCTTGGTGCCTGCCCTGGCACCTGCTTGTGCAAGCAGAGCTGATGAACTGCTGATGAACTCGGCTAAAGAAATTGGTGGCGACTCTGGCAGATGTTCCAGCTATTTAGATCTCTGGGATGAGATCATACAATAATTTCTTCAAGATTCAAAGCCGTGTGACTTCTTTTGAAGGGCTTACTTCAGCTACTTGAATAGCTGTGCTTAACATCACTGCCATATCCCAATGAATATCTGAATAAAACACTGTATTTAGTTGGAAAGTCTATTTTGGGACTTTTTATCTGACACAGTAAGAATTAAGCGGAGCCTTCCTTTCTAGGAAAAGGCACGGATTATTAATGCTTTATGAGCAGAAAACCTCAGGCCTGTTAGAATAAGCAGCTGGCTCATGATAGCATATCAGTTGCAATTTAAAAATATATTTTAGTTATTCCTGTGATTAGTTGGAATGACCTAGGCTGCATTTACTTTGTACAGGCAGTATTGGCTCTTTGAATTTTTTTTTTTTTTTTTTTTTTAATTTTGGGTTGTTTGTTGGTTGGTTTTTTTTTTAGGTTTGCCAATCTCCGTAGCTGCTACTTAGGATAAAGATGCTTTTCTTTCATTCAAGCATTTCAAAATTCATAAAACAGTTCATTTATAGTGGTGAGAAAGATACTGTTGTTCTGTCCCAGCTGATGGAAGTGTTTGCAGAACTGAGGACACCGCAGTCCATAAATGTACCTCTGTGCATAGGCCTTCCAATATTTTTTTTTTTCCCAGCTTTTTATTACGTTCTGACTCAGAAGGAAAGCCAGCGGCTCTGAAACTCCCTGTGAGGCGGGACAGGGCCCTTCCAGGCGCGCCGCAGCTCCGGGG